ATCCCGGAGGAGCTCTGCAGCCCGGGGCCCCAAAAGCTCCCTCCCTGGATCCGAAGCACAGATGGACGGTAGGCTGCGGGGGCCGGTGCCTGAGTCCCGGGTGGAGAGGGTTGGCCAGCTCCGGCTGGGGCAGTGACTGACAGATCGGCCCCGGGTGGGTAGTGAGGGTTGGGGGTAGGGCAGGGGCGGGGCCCGGCCGTTAAAGGGGAATGGCAGCCTGCTTGCGCGGAGCGCCCGGCCCACCGGGTTGTGGATGTATCGGGCGGAGGCCGAGGAGAGCGAGGACGTTTAAGAACCCGGCTCGGAGCGGGAGGGGCCGGAGCGCCGGCCTCTGAGTCAGCCGGGAAGCTCAAGGAGCCTGCATCCTCGCCGGCCTCCGCCTTCGGGCTGCCTCCGCCTCGCCAGCTTCCTCGGCAGGTGCCTCTTCCCCCAGCCCGCCCTCTTCACCTCCCGATGGGTCCCGCTTGCCAGATCCTGAATTCGTTGTGGCCCTTACCTAAGTACCCTGTAAGGCCAGATCTCGTTGTGGCTTCCCGGCTGCGTAAGAAGCGGCAGGGGAACGGCGACCCGTGATCTGGAGACCCAAGGAAGAAGACAGGTGTAGGAAGGGGCTCGCAGGGCGCGTTCGGTGGGCTCTGGCAGGGACATTTACCCCAGGGCTCGAGATCCTGGGGCACCTCCGAGCCTCTCCTGTAGTGTCCTCCAGCCCCGTCCGGGAGCGCCAATAATTCATGCCCTGTTTCCGAAATCGTTGTAAATGGGACCTATGGTTCAACCCGGGCCAACTCAGACCCAAAGTGCAGGTGGTCTCTAACCTGGGATTCTGCCCCTCTATTCTTTACCTAGGATGTCTATTTTCACACTCTTCTCTCAGAGGTGGGAGGGCGAGATCGCCCCAGGCAACGGGACTCGCTGAGGCCTTGGGAGGATTCCGGCCGCCTCATTTCGCATAGACACTTCGCCCATCCCAGCCCCAGAAAGTGCGCCCGGAGCGTGCCAGAGAAAAGAGGTGGAGAGAGACTGAAGTCGTTCGGTGACCTTGTGACCTCTGGCCGCGAACCCTGGAGCCACGAGTGTGTGAACTCTCCGTCCTTCCCAGGAATGGGACCCTGGCCGGGCGGGCCCCTGAGTCTTAGACCCGCCCCCGCCGCC